TTTACCACAAAAATTACAATTAAAGCCAAACACCTCTTCCTCTTTGCCCTCTTCGGGTAATATCTGCGAAACGGATCCCTCGCCGAGGAATAGCTCGATGTCATTAAAATCGAGAATGTCTTTCATGTGAATGACTTGTGAGCCCTCTTTGCCAATCATCCCGTGATCGGAGACAATCACTACATTCACGTCATTGTCTATCTTTCTGTCTTCGATCGAGTCGTACAACTCATCAATCATGCGATCGACGTCTCGAATGGCTTTCCGAGTTTTGCGAGATCGGGGGCCGTAGGCGTGACCTGACATCACATCAACACATGTTAGTAATTATGTCAATATTTTTAATTAATTTTAAATCATCACTAAATTTAAACTGCATTTCAAATAATATTTTCCATTAATTATACGATAAGTGAAATTATTGTCATTGTATGAGAAAGTTTTGCCAAAAATATTCAATAATACTGTATATGAAATTCCTATGAGTTTAACAATCTATAAGACGAGACACTGAATGAACGAATATCTAGTGTTTTATTAAAAACTTTGAATATATTTTTTGTTAAATAAACAAACGAGAAGTGAATAATTGGTACGAATTGACTGAAGCACTGGTTATTAGTGTTACTTATTTTTGTTACTTTTCGCCAAAAAGATTGATTGAAATAAATAAATGATCGCTTGTGAGGGCACAGGACTCGTGGAGTACATATGTTTTCCATTACTATCAGCTCATAAATCATATAAATTCATTCATTCATCTCATTTCCTTCAATACAATATCGGTTTTGCAGCGAATGTTAACATTATTTTCTAATTTTAAGGCTTTTTTCGGTGCGGGGAAAAAGTGTTGCATATTTTAAAAATAAATATACATTTAATTTTATATACATTTTTAAAAGCAATTCACTAAATATATTCATTTGTCAAACAGCGCTAAGAGAAGGGTATTTATATCGATATAATACTTATATACCAACGCTATTATAATACTGGCTCTCAATCTCATAGACATGTATTAATAGTGAGAATACATAATATATTTAAAGGCCAAGACATACCGGTGTGATCCACAAACTCGTAATACAGTAAAGCGAGTCTATATTTATCATTGGAAAAGTCGTCCAAAATATTTTTTATATAAATCCGAGTTTCATTGTTTGCGTCGTCGGAATCGTATAGAGCTTTGTATTTGTGACACACGTATGGCTTTATGCCCCCAATCCTTACTTGGCATCCGTCCCATAAATATACGGCTGATTTGATGCCATTCTTTTCGGCCGTCACCCAAAGTGGTTCCGTTTGATTCCACCAGTGATTATGTGATGCGTTTGGATGCGGAGCCATCGCGAAGACATCGTCCCGCGTTTGGTCGTACATATAGTTTTGAATCATTCCGTGACTCTCGCCGTACAGACCGGTCACTATTGAGTACCAGTTGGGGTAAGAGTTGGCCGGAAATATGGGTTTGACGTATTCGGCCGAAACACCGTTCGTCGCGATTCGCCGAAACCCTTTCAGTGACTTATCCCGCGAGACGTAATCCCAGCGAAAACCATCGACTAATATAATCAACAGTTTGACGCCTTCTTGAGGCACATCTGGCGTCTGCTCTTCAGGAGAGTCGTATTCATCGCTCTCTTCGCCACCGTTTGGCTCTTCTGTAGTCGTATTGTCGGTCACTTCCGGCGTTGACTTGTCTTCAGATTCATTGCTCTTATCGTCAATTTTGTCGTCGCCTTCGTCTTCCTCTTCAATCGGATTCCGTTTGAATCTAACGTTTATATCATTTTCGATGTCTAAAACACTTTTAGCAAAACACGGACTTAAAATAAATACAATGAAAGAAACACTTAAAACCAATTGAAGTCTCATTATATTGTTATCTCAAAACACTTTTAAAGTCTTGAAAGTCTTGAGAGGACTAAAGAGTAGTGTTTGAAGTGTCACGAAAAGTATATCACTTTGTGTCTGGTATTGACTTTGAATGCGAAACCAAATGAAACAGAATTTGGCACAATTCCCATACTTTCTACAATACTTCCCACATCTCCTCCTATACCCTAAAACTCAAACCTAAAGAATGTTTTCACAAAACTTTTGTGTAATTAAAAAGACATCAGAATTTGACTGACTTTTCACTGCATAAAGTATTCAATTTTTATTTTGATTGCAATTAAACATATCTTAAAATATCAGTTATTCTATAAATGTTTTCCTAATTACGAGAGTTTTGTTTGGCTTTCGTTTCATTTTAATTGACTCTTTATGTGAAACTTTATAACAATTTTAAATATGAAACCTTTATTATGTATTAATGCAGAGAATGATTGAAATAAATAAATGTAATTATAGTAAAAACCCGTATATTCTGTTTATGTATAGCTTTGTTTAGTAAATTGTAAATATAATAAATTAAAATGTAATTTAATATTAATAAATGGATCTATTTATTAATTAAAAGAATATCATTTTTAAATAAAATTATGGTCGTTATTATGACTTGTTTTGTTAATTATAGTTTTTATTGATGTTTTTTGTTTATTAAATGTAATATAAAAATAATTTACAAAAAGTATCACATACTGTTAATATTTAAATAGTACATTCAATTTACAATTTTAAATTAAAATATACAAAATTATATCAAATGTACGCAAAGGCTTAGACATAGCATAATAAAAACATTGAGCAAAGGAATTGAATTTATGCCACTATTGTCTCCACTGCTTACAAGCATTTCTCGCACTTTACTATCGGTTCCGTTATTAGGGATGGGATTAATACCCAATAAATGACAGAATAGGTTGTAGTGATCGACCATTTCTAATGGTTGTGCCATAAAATTCTTCTTAAAAGCGGGTCCAAAACCATACATAATGCCTCTCATATCAATGTCGTTAATGTCATAGCCGTGATTACCACCCCTTGGCTTTTTCTGTGGTTGGTTTGCAGGATATACCACTCCTTCAATTCTAGGCTGAAATGTATTAATATTTCATATAATGCATCCATAAGTTATTCAAACAATTTATTGCCAAAAATTTAACTAATTATGATATGAGTGAAACTCACGGCTCGAAGAGTATAACCGATATCAACGGTCACCAAAATAGGCAACACTAATGAATTGTGTTTATAATGAAATTGTTTGGGAATGTCATCTCTTTTATACACTTTAATGCCTTTCACTCTACGTAACTGCTTATAGACCTAAGAGTATAAACAAATGATTTGAAAAATTAATAAAAATTAAGCAACAGATATAAATAAAAACAAACCTCATCTAGTTTGTCGGCTTTGGGTGTAATCTGTGCTCCAGAACCTCCCCCAAGAAATACCTCGATGTTATTAAAATCAACACGGTCTTCCAAAACAATTGGTTTGAAATCGTCGAGTTGTGTCATTCCGTGATCGGAAACGATGACAACATTCACTTCTTTGTCTAACTTTCTCTTCGCTAACGAATTGTATAAATCGTAAAGAATTTCATCGATTCCTTTAATGGCTTCTCTAATGTTTGGAGAATTGGGTCCAAAGGCATGACCTGTTGTAACAGAATTGACATTATACATAGGTTTATGTATTAATTGTTTAGTTATGTCATTTGATCGTACAGTATTTATTAATTTATAATATTAATTAATTAATTAATTTTGCTTAAAAGTAATGTTTATCTAAAAATATTGAAAACAATATGTGTTTGTTATTCATAGAATGAATTAAAAAAGTTAAAAGCTTGAAAGTTTATCAATTTGTTTGTTCAGTAAAGTTTTAAGTCATATTAAAACATATGTGAATTAAATAAAAAATATTATCGATTAAAAATATATAATAAATAATTTAATTAAAAATATGGGGAAAATTATGATCAATATATTTTGAAAACACATTTATAACAAAATGATATAACTATAAAATAAAAAAACATTTGTTTTTATAAATGAAAAATAAATGTACAATAAATAAGAAGAGTTGAGTCCCATCCCTTCCCCTCTCAAAAATGCACAACTTTGCCATAACTTTCAAATACTTATAAACAAAAGACAACACATACCGATGTGATCGACCATTTCGTGGTACAGAAATACGAGCCCATATTTATCGTCCGCAAAATCGTCTAAAATTTTCTGACTATAATTTCGGGTTTCGTCATCTGCTTTGCTTTGGTCTTCGGAGACCGTATGATATTCAACACAATGGGTAACTTCGATGCCATTGAATGCCACTTGACATCCGTCCCATAAATACATAGCGGTCTTAATTCCCTGTTTCTCGGCTGTTATCCACAGCGGCTCACTCTGTGTCCACCAATGAGTGTGTGAGGCGTTTGGGTGCGGACCCATTAAAAAGTGATCGCCGGTCTGATTGTCATACATATAGTTTTGAATCATACCGTGAGTCT